ATCTCAACCATAATGTTACATTAACGTCGGTTTTGCATTTCATTTCCCAGTTTAGAAGAATAGCATCAGCGCCTTCGCCTGTCTGTACAGAAAAAAGTGCAGGCTGACTAGGGCCACAGCCAGACAGACCACAACCCAACAACTGGGCTCTCCTGCTCAAAAGCCTGGCCCAACCCCTCCCATCTGGAGGAGCTGCAGCCAGGACAAGTGAGGGGGGAGGGAGCGGTGGGTCCTTTCTCTAGGAAACTGCTTTCCATTCACTGGGTGTGTGCAGGAATCACATGAGTGGGGAGAAGGAGAAGCTAAATACAGACCAAGAACACCATGTGTGCATTGGGTGGGGGTTATGAAGTAGGGGGATCCTGCCTTTCAGCCTTGCATGGAGGTGAAGAGAATCCATATAGTGTCATTTGTAGGGATCTTAACCAATTTTCTATAAAGTTTTTTTTAAATGTCTCTCTCATAAAGTTTTCCAAAATGTCTCTTTCACAAAGGACTAATAATGATGTGCCAGCTCTAAGTCATACTGAAATTCTCCAAATGCCTCTCTTCTATATAATTCCTTCTCGTGTCACCATCCTCTCCCCCTCCACACCCTCCCAAAATAACCTAGCATCTGGACAATTTTCTATAAAAAAGAAACTCCTTTGCTCGTAGTTCTAACTCAAAATGCAGACTGAGTCTCTTTAAGGTTTCCTTTAAAAAAAAACCCAAAAACCTTTGTGAACAAAGACCAAACACTAGAAAAACCCCAACCCCAAAAGTCATCTTTCTCCAAAGTCTCGGGCCCTTGAGCCCTTGAATACAGACCAGAAGAACAACAGTCAGCAGCGCTGCTACACGGCAGTGAGAAAAGACTGTACCCGGGAGCCTGAGGGGTGGCCAGAGGAAAGTCGGGGAGGGAGGGTGGGCAGGCAGCAGCCAGGACTGCCCATCTGCTTGTGTGGTGGCCTATATTTCACTTTCCTCAGTTACATTTGCTTTGGTCTTTTTTGACCAAACACTGAGGTGTTGAGACAACTGCCCCCGGGTTAAAGATGCACCATTAAAGATCCACCAAAGCTTTCAGGCTGCTCCCTGGCCCAGGGGTCGCTGCCACCACCACTGGATGCACACCAAAATAACAACGTGACCCCTGCTAGCAGGATGAAGGAGCCACGATTCTCCCAGGCCATACAAAAACCTCCTTCCATACCAGGAAACAATTCCTACAGCAAGAAAGGAATTGTATTCCTCAAATTTAGAATCTATAAAGCATTTTAAACTACCTAAATTAAAATTTAAGTGAAAAAAATGTTTTCAAATGGAAAAACAGTCTCATATTCAACCAATACCTATTATGTTCATCTGAATCAAAACATGTGAAACAAAATGAGTGCAAAACCCAGAAAGTAAAAGCCTGTTCTGGCAAACTGACCACTCCTGTTTCACCTAGCTGAACAAAGCACGAAAATAAACAGCAAAAATGATGACGAATGGAAAACATCACATTTTACCATGTTTATAACCAATACCATTACTTACCCAAGTACGGCAGAGCTTACCCCTGTTAGTGTTTCACAGTGGTATTCCTTTAGGACAGTCCCAATAGGGTGACTCGGGGACTTCTGAGAACCAGAGGCGGAAGAGAGAATGAACCCAATGCCAAGCCTCCAGATAGGCCCCGGCCCAAAATTTGTGTCTGCCCCTATGTAACGAGGGGTATGGCACCCTCCCGTAAGAATCAGAAGCGTACTCTGCGGAGGCCCTAAGTACTGAACGCTCCTGGGAGCCAGGCGTGAGGGGAGTGGGGCGGCTCTCCTTCACGGCCTGAGCCCATTCCAGGAGCTACGCAGACCTGCCCACAGTCTCTCTGTCAGGTGGACAACCACCAAGCCACTCAGACAGCGTGCTAGGGCAGGCTGGTCTAACTGGCTCACCATTTTCTAGTCCTTTCACTCTCTCTTCAGAAGTTCATGCCACATCTCATTCTTTTCTGATTCCATTTAAATCTGTTTCTTTTAGTCCTTATTAAAATGAAGAGCAAGTTATTATCATATTCCTTGGAACAATTACTTCTCATATGATGAATTTATTTAGTCTGGATAAGAATCAGTCACTAAAACCACATTCAATTTCTTTTCTTCCTAAGTCTTATTTTTGTGCTTCTAATGATTTCTGCTCCTCTTATCCTGAGCTTTTCTAACTTCTCCAGTGTCCTTGTTGACCAGAAGACCAAAATAGCAGATGCTCTAAGGAGAACCTGAACTTCCTCAGTGGAAGGATGCTGACCGATCTGGGACTGGCAAGTTCCAGTCCACCTTCCAAACTTTGCCTGAATCCTTTCAGGATCTTGCTACCTGCAAACCTTAGGGAAGATTTTCTTTTTTAAGCAGAAGGGATTTTCTTTTTTAAGCAGTCTCTCCCGAGTTACGCATCCCCTTCCCGAGACTGGTTCAATGGGTAGTCCAGCAGAGCTGCCTGGCCCCAAATTCACTTTCCTACCTGTTGATCACAGCATTGTAGAGGCTTAATGAAGTAGAGATGCATTACATTCATCACTTGCCCTAGATCCACTCAAATCCATCACTATGTCACAGCAAGAAGTTAGATTGATCTGACAGGATTTGCTCTTCTTCACAAACCCATGTAAGTTATTACTTAGTTCCCTATGCTCTTCTAGCTGTTTGTTGATTGATTATCTGACGATCAGGTCAAGTATCTTCTCTGGAATCACAGTAAACTAACGGGTCTATAATTTCCAAGATCATTCGTATTCCTCTTATAAAGATAAGCAAGACAGCAAATGCTTCTTCCTGAGTTCTCTAAAGCAGCAGCTAATGCTTTCCTAATAATGAACCAGGGCAGCCAATTCCTTAAGTGCCCTTGGAATCACATCATCGGGTTCATTGATTCTGTAGATAATCTTTAATCAGGCCAGATCCTAGTAAACAGCATAAAGCCCACCTCTGCCTACGTCTGAAAGACCTTGGTGCCCAAGTCTGGAAAGGAAGTTGGTGACACAAGTGATTTAAATCTGTACTGCATTATGTTTTCAACATTGCAATAAATAAATAAAAAGAACAATGACCTTGGAAGAGAGATGAAAGGTGACACTGACAGACCAAATTGAGACAAGAATCAAGCTTCACCTTCAGCAACATTGGTAGAACCCTCTGTAGAACAAGAGAAGAGAGCTACATAATTATCTGAGCTCATACTCGAACTGAAAGTTCAGAAACATACAAAGGCATGTGCCAGGAGGCAGAAAACAGGAAAGGCCATGAGGGAGGTGCCAAGCAATCCTGAAGTTCAGATTCTCGTCAGCACATCAACAGAGATGTGTTGGATTTCAGACTGTATACCAGTGAGAGAAATAATATGATATATTGGGATATAAATCCCTGATTCCCAACCTACAAGAATGTACATAACCAAAATTCCTACCCACCACCCAGGCACACCCAGCATAGAGTCTCCACTAGTTCTGGGAGACAGAGGAGACCCCACAGCGTGGGCTGAGAAAGTAAATGTGGCTCAGGTAGCTCCCAAGCTGTATTCCCTTTTATACAAACTTCCTTGACTAGGACATGCTCCTCAGTCTGCTCCTGTCTTCCCAAGCCTCGGGCAGGCCTGATTCCAATGCCTCAAAGGCAGACTACTACTTTAAAGGAGAGTAGGAAAGAGAAGAAAGGGGAAGGAAAAGGAATCGTGGTGTCTGCTTTATGGATAACAATCTACTATTCTAAAGAAAGAACATCTTCCTGGAAAAAAAATCAATCATGAGAAATCAAAGAAAGTTTACCTCTGAACGGACACTCCTCCCTGTCTCCCACGTGCCTGATGCCATAGTCCTCCTCTCTCCCTCCCCTTACCATGCCCAGACCAACATGTCTGTGCATTCCAGAATTTCACACCTGACAACTCAGGCTCACCGGGAAGAGTTACAGCCCTAGAGCCAGGCATACCCAAGGTCCCCACACAACAATGAACTGCCATATCAGCTCCCAATCATTCCTCCAAAGCAAATACCAAGCACTCCGAGGTCACCTAGCATAGGCGCCCCTCTGCTGCTAATCCGAGCTTCCTAGTAGCAGTACCATAAAAAGTCTCTGAATACAGTTGGTGACTAAGGGAAAAAAAAAGGCAAAAAAATGTTCCTTTCCAACAGATCAACGATGGTACTTGTTCAGGTTATCTAATTTGCATAATAAATCATCCCAAAATTTAGTGGCATAAAACACCAATAACCATTTGTTGTCTCTCAGTTTCTGTAAGCCAGGAATTCAGGAGTGGCTCAGTTGGCCAGTCTGGCTCAGGGTCTCTCCCGAGGGTGAAGTGAGATGTCCACAGGGGCTGGAGTTATCTAAAGGCTTGACTGGCACTGGCAGATCCACTGCCAAGATAGTACCAAGAAACATGACTGGCAAGTTGGTACTGGTTTTCAGCCAAGAGCCTCAGTTCCTGTGCACATGTGCCTCTCCACAGGGCTGTTTCAAGGTCCTCATAGCATGGTGGCTGACTTTTTCCAGAACAAGTGACTCAAGGGCAGGTGGACTGCAATGCTCTTCATGGCTTAGCCTCAGAATGTCTCTTACACTATACTGTATTGGGTGTACAGGGCTAGCTCTGATTCAATGTGGGAGAGGAATGACTAAGGGTACGCATCTCAAGAGGTAAGGATTGCTGGAGACCATCTTGGAGGCTGACCACAATAGCAACAGCAGAATACGGAAAGAGGGAAGGAAAAGGAGAGAGGAAGGGTGGGACGAAAGGAAGTATTTTGATTCCCAAAGGCTGAGGCCAGAGAGAAACAATGTGCCCCATTCTCTCCAGAGACTTCTCAGGTCTACCTTTCGCTAGCACGCCTACACCAAGTCCTGCTCCCTAGGCAGGAACTCCAGATGAGTAGCTAAGAGCCAGGAAGACATGAGAAAGTTCCTCTGGGTCCCAGGAAGCAAAACTGTCCTCCCTCCCTCCTTACCACCCCACCTTTTCTGAAGCAATGATGCAACAGTTACCTGAGGTTGAATCTGTGGCTTGTCGCACGTGGCCTCAAAGTCCAGCACTAAAAAGTAGTGATACCTCTGGGGAGGGAAGGACACCATTGCCGCCATGGATGCGCCAAAGCCGTGGGCCGCCAGCTTTCTGGTGGATATGGAGCAGAACTCCGGAACACCACAGGGAGAAAATAAGTGGGAGCCCAGCACTTTTCTTGCTCTTGAAAGTAAATATGAAGAAAATCGAGCTGCTCCAGTCTGCAAAGGCGCTAGCATTGAACATCCAGAAGCATCTAAAACTTAGGGGAGGAAAATTTAAAAACAAAACAAAACAAAAAAAAAAAACAGAGAGCCTGGGTTACTCCCCTCCCACGGTGGCCCTGTTCTATCTAGTTTTCGGGGATAGTCACACAACATGAACCACGCCCCAGTTTGTTTCTGAGCCCCCTTTCTAAATCACAGTATTTATTACTGAAGTTAAAGACCCTAATACTAGCCCCTGCAGCATTATGACAGCCTGGCATCTCCCCATTCATTCTCAAAACAACATGCAACACTGGCCTTCATCTTTAAATAGAGCTCTACAGTTTAAAAGAGAGAAAAATTCTGTGCTCACTTCTCAGGTGGTGACAGTTAAGATTAAAGCTAAAGTTCTCAAAGTAACATGAGGTGACCCCGTTGCACAGTCAGTCCTGGGAGCTAAGTAGACTCAGACAGACAGCAAAACGCCCAAGATTCTCTCCTCAGTTCCATTCTGAGCCATTTGCCCCTGGCTTTCCTGCCTGTATCTTGACATCTCCATGTACTGTCCTCCCTTCCCCAATGTGAAAGCAAACAGAGCCAGTCACAGGGGAGCTTGCTCACAATATTCTGTTGATTCCCCAGGCCCCAAGCCAGTAACTGGCACCCTGGGAGAACGAATAACGCCTGCAGAGCACAGCTGCCAACTGCCTTAGGCTTTCCCATTTGCTGCCTTTAGAATCACTCTCTACTAGGAGCCTTGAATGACTGCAGGACTTTTTTAAATAGGGAAGAAAAAGAGAAAACCCAGATGTGGCAGTAATGGGAGCATTTCTAAAAGTCTAGTAAATTTCTGAGTGAACATGTGCAAAAAAAAAATCCAAATGACTTTTCAAGTTTTCCCTTTAAATTTGCAGAATGTCTGCTCCTTAGAGGACTAACTAAATATAAAAATCAAAGCCTAAGTTTTAAACAACTCAAGTTTCCTTTTCAAAAAAAAGGAACAAAGCAGAAATGTTGTGTTTTCCCCTCTTTTATACCAAATACTCAAATTCCCTCAAAATCAAAAAAGAGATTTCACTGCCAGTACCGAAATGGCCATAGTTTATGCCTTCTGGAAACCCATTCTTACAGAGCCAAAAGCTTGCCTCTGAAAGGCTGCAGACGGGCACCTTCTCCTTCATGTGGGGTAGGGGAGGAGAGCAGTCTGTGAAGTCCAGAGCATCCTCAAAGGCAATGAGGTCATTAGTACCTGAGTGCACACGGGACAATACCAAGTATCACTTCTCAGCCTGCCTCTCCCTTGATCCACTGAATGAGCTACAATAACTTGCCTGTGTATTCATTAGGATGTTTGCCAGTGTGCATCCTCGATTCCCTGTCCCTAGTGAGATTCCATGTGGATGCAGTGGAGCTAAGACTGAAAAGAATTTTAAGTTCTCCCTGGCTGGCGTAGCTCAGTGGATTGAGCGTGAGCTGTGAACCAAAGTGTCGCAGGTTCAATTCCCAGTCAGGGCACACGCCTGGGTTGCAGGCCACGGCCCCCAGCAACCGCACATTGGTGTTTCTCTCTCTCTCTCTTTCTTCCTCCCTTCCCTCTCTAAAAATAAATAAATAATAAAAAATAAACTATCATAAAAAAAAAGAATTTTAAGTTCTTCATGGATCCTGCATTAGCACAGTGCTCGTTTTCACCACAGCTCCACACCCCCCGCAAAAATTCAGCCAAAACTCAGCCCAGGATAGACAAAGGTGGCTTGAGTTTCATTAGGGAATTCCTTGGAAAGGCAAATGGGCCAATGTCCCTTTGAAAGCTGGAATCCCAAATAACACTTCACATCAAACACACCTGAACAGTATCACAGCCTTGACTAGATGGGAGATACCCGTCTGCTCAGATTATACATTCCAGTTTGGATCTAAAGTCCCTCAGGGCCTTGGAACACTTCTCTAACCCCTTGAAATCAGGCCACACATAAGGACTTCTTAAAGTCTTAATGTTCTCCAATGTGTAAACATAGTGTACAAAGTGTACATACAGACAACCAGAACCCATGTACCAGATACTACAGGCAATTAAGTGTCATGATTAAGGAGGGCTTCCAGATTTGAATCCTGGCTATACTAGTTATTTGCCATGGCACCATGGGCTAGCTCTTCTTCAAATGGCAGTAACAGTTCCTACTCCATAAGTGAGACTGAAATGAGAGGACACACACAGAGCTCTAAGAGCAGTGTCTGGCTCCGTAAGTCTTAGCTTACTATTGGGAGAATCCAAGATGGCTGTGGAGTAGGAGGAAGTAGGAGGCCTCCTCCTTGCGCCAAACTGGATTTGCAACTAATTTATGGATCAATATTAGCTTACTATTATTGATGTATAATTTACTACCTTATTGGGCTATACCCACATAGGCAAACCTGGATCCCCCATATTTCAGACCTATAAATCCATTTAATGCAAAAGGCAACCTCAGAGATCAACATTAATGTCTCCTACTTCCTAGAATGCTCTCGACCTCTCATATAGCATACTATACATGTCTCATCCCCTTCCATAGATGATAATATTGATGGTCAGAGGTCCTCTTGTCTGCAGGCCTTGCTTTTCTCACCCAATTTTACCCACATCAAATAGCTTCTCTTGCAGGAAGTCTTGAGAGCAGACATTAGGAGACCAGGCCTCCATACGTCAGCAGTCACTAGGTTCTATACTTCCCTTACTTCTAAGCATCAATTCAACTCAAGTCAAGAAACAGAGGGTACCTCTTCCTCTTCCCTTCCTGAAAAATTCAACCTAATGGCTTTAGAGCCATTAGTTGTGGCAGAGGAAGGTAGGTGTCAACAACAATTGGGGTGGGGGGAGCATAAGGGTCTGGAGGCTAGTATGAGAGTGCAGGTAGGTGAGAAGGGCATCCACACAGATGCAGGAAGGGGTGTGGAAGGCATCCATGGGGCAGTGGTAGAGGGGTCTGATGCAGGGAGTCAGGGGCATGGTAAAAAAGGCGGCCAAGAGCAGGGAAGAAAGGAGACCACAATGGAGATTACTTACATTCAGAGGAATTTATTAAAGAAGCACATATTAAGGGTAACTGAAATAAGGTTTCTCACCATTAGAGGACAGAATTAAAATATGGAAAAAGAAAGAAATCCATGGTGTCGGATTAGAATTGAAGGTAAAAGTATAAACTCAGTTTCTGATCTATAATATATAAAAATAAAGCTAGAGCCCTGGTTGGTGTGGCTCAGTAGATCGAGTGGCCGGCCTGTGAACCAAAGGGTCGCTGGTTTGATTCCCAGTCAGGGCACATGCCTGGTTGAAAACCAAGTCCCCAGTAGGGGGCATGCAAGAGGTACCAGTTGGTGTTTCTCTCCTCTTTCTTCCTTCCCCTCTCTCTAAAAATATATAAATAAAGCTAGATGCAATTGAGAATGGATACATGCATGCGCACACACACATATACAAATATATAAAAACATGCACATATATTTTCTAGCTGCCTGCTGAAGGGCCAGGGAGCAGCAACATTCCAATAGTAATGAGCACACACAGCACCCGGTCACCTTCTAAATGACATTCTCCAGAGCTCTTTTGAGAAATGGCTGATTTCAGGGCTGTGGCAGGGAAAGGACAAGATGAACCTGAAACATCTTGTGCCAGAAAGCAAGGAAATGCTCAATGATAAAAACATATCAAAACAATGCAGAAGTAAGCTTGAAGGGGATCTCACTGGCAAATAAATAATGATATTAATAGGTTACAATGTGTTGAATAAAAAGGAAACCCATGGGTCCATTAAAAAATAAATAAATAAATAAAATTTAAGTTTGATGTGGGATATTCATATAGTTTGAAAGTATCTCCTCAAAGAATGCTTATTATTACAGGGAGTAAGTTTACAATGGAGAAGCCTGGCAGACATCACCTTAATCCACTCAACAAGATGAACATCATTAATAATGGGGTAAATCAAAATCATGCACCAACTGATAGGATGCAATGAGAAAAACAAAGCTTATTTTCTGTGATATTCCTGTCAAAGATGCACAACCTAAATATGATCATTAGAAAACCTCAGACCAACCCTAACTGAGGGACAGCCTATAATCTTCAAAAGTATCAAGGTCACCATAACTAAATGCAGTGCACAATTCTGAACTGGATCATTTTGCTACAAAGAACCTTACTGGGACAACTGGCAAAACCTGAATGGGGTTTGAGGATTTGATGGAGGTAACATTATCAAAATTTCCTAGCTTTAATGGCTGCACTTGGTCAGGTAGGAAAATGTCCTTCCATGTAGGAAATACACGCGAAGTATTCAGGGTGATGGGGTGTTAGGTTGGCAACATAACTCTCAAATGGCTAAAACAAATTCTTTGTATTGAACTTCTAACTTATACATAAATTTGGACTATTTCAAACTTTTTAAAAGTTATCTTTTAATCCATATGCAATGTGGCTTAATAAAAGAAAAAAGAACCCTGGCCAGTGTGGCTCAGCTGCTTTAAGCATCATCCTGTAACCAAAAAAGATTGAAGGTTTGATTCTCAGTTAAGGCACAGAACTATGTCACAGGTTTGATCCCTGGTCTGGGTGCACTAAGATCCCTAGTCTGGGAGCTTACAATCGCCAGTCCAGGCTCTATGGGAGGCAACTAATCAATGCTTCTCTCTCACATCTATGTTTGCCTCTCACCCTTCCTCTCCCTCTAAAAGCAAAGAAAGAAAATGAAGGAAGGGAGAGAGGGAGGGACGGAGGGAGGGAGGGAGGGAGGAAAAGAAAAGAAAAAACAAACCGAGAGGTACGTGAGGGAGAATGTAGGCTGCACGCTCCCTTCTGGCAGGGAGGCTGGTGTGTTCAGGACTAAGAGCGCCCCAGCTGGCGCCCGCACTGCGCACTCCTGTTCATTAGCACCTTATCAGGAAACATCCCTGCCCTCAAGGCAGCGGAGCTTCACCTGCCCTCGTTACCTCTGAAATCTTAGGGATTTCTCTTTTCTATTGACGTCTCTATGCTTTAGTCATAAGTTTGCAGAATGTAATTCTAGAACTTATATTACCAACTGGGACTTTTGGTATCTAGTTGAGGGGCAGGACCCAAAAGAAACAGTCTATGATTCTGTGTATTTCAGCACAAAATCTTTCATCAGAGACCAAGACTTATACACATTTATTCTCAAATACTCTTTTCTCTTTCCTAGTAAATTAATGGTAGTAAGTAGCCAATGGCAAGAAGGAAAATGAATGATTCTCTCCTCAAAACGAAGGGACCAGCCCCCCAGGGGCAGGGGAGGGGTAAACAGGGACTGCCACAGGGCCAGCCTGATTTGGAGAAACAGGCCTGAGCCACAGCCCCTGGAGGATGGTCTCCGTGCAGAGTATTTACACAACAGACACCAATGGCTCCTCTGCAGCCATTACTGTCGGTCAGGTAAATAACGCATGTGCCAAAACACACATTTAATGAGGGAAATAATATGCCTTTATAAAAAGCTTCAATCTGTATTTACCTGAGAGACCAGAGAAGCACCAAATCACCAGATTAGTGGAACCACAGAGGAGTCATTCTGGTGTCTTGGGTAAATAGACATTTTATAGCCTTCCATTACTGGAGAGGGGAAGGGAGGGTGAGGGGGGGGGCATCCTTTAATATCCACATACACTGGCCAGGGGGGTGTGGGGGGATGGGAAAGAGAGAGGCCCATCATGAAATATGGGATCTACGATCTACTCCCACCCCCTCTCCCCAACCACACATACTTGGAATCTGGGGGAGAGGGGAGGATATGGGTTTGTACATCCCTGGATTCAATCTATGCCATTAAAACCGGACTGGGAGGCAGGGGATTCCTGAGAAACTCCAAAGCACCAGATGAAGATTCTGAGTCCCAATTACTAGAAACACCTGAGTCAGCTGTAGCTTCCCCAGTTCCCATTCCTGGGGCAAGTTCCTGTCCTCACCTGACCTGTAGTACCCCAGGCACCTGAGTCACAGAAGCATCAACAGAGAAGACAGCAATACCTGTCTGGAACTCACTCGATCAAAGGCTCTATCTTAGGCAGCTAAAATAGCCTGGGAAAAATATAAATAAACTGCATGCCTTCAAAAATCATAATCTTCCATCTAATGAATGAATGCATCCTTACTGCCAGAGCACTTTCTGTGAAAATCAGACTGCCAAAGGTGAAAGAAAACTTAAGCCGTGACACAGGCCAGCCAGCCAGTGAAAAGGAGTCCCAGAAAGAGAAACAGACTGCACAAGGTTCACATGGCAAGTAGGAGTAAGAAGAGAACCCAGGGGGCCCCAACACAAGGCCTTATCACCCGAGCTTTTAATGCAACCTCACAGTGGAAGCCAAGGGCCTGAGAGCTAGGTCTGAAAGGCAGAGGCTGAAACAATAGAGTTTGACATCCCCTGGAACCTCTATACAACTTCCTGATGGTCCCAAAGTGGAATGGAAGAAGGACCTCTAAAGCTGGATCCTCAACTCAACAAAACAAACTCTTCTCTATAACCTGTCACTCTCTTGGCTTGCAGCTAAGGGCTGCTTCTGCTCCAACGCAGAGCTAGGTAGGTAAAGCTCGCCCAACATCAGAAGCGGCTGCTAACCCAAAACTACCAGCAGAGCTTAAGTCACTAAAGACCTTCAGGAACACCAAATTCTGGTGGCAACATCACAGGGCACTTGAGGTTTACTCTCCCCTGCCTGTCCCAGCAGGTCGAGGCAGCACAGCAAAAGGAGTGACTGTGATTTGCCTGCCATTTGGTAACCCATCAGCCACACCCAGTAGCTGGGGCAAGCTCCACAAAGGGAAACATCTCTGTAAAACCCTGCAAGTCAGTTGTAACCCCATCGTACACGAGAAGGGGCAAAGGCTTATTTCTTAATACACCAGAAACAGGATAGAAGTGAAGGAAGGGCAGGGTATGGTACTTACTCTGTTAGGCACCTCCCACACTCATAGACAGCATCTGACCCCAGAACCTTCTATACCCCCCTTATGAGATGGAGAACTAATATAAAAATAAGGAGTCACACAGATAGTTGTCAAAATGCTGGTATTAGCTCTGGCTGGTATGGCTCAGTGGACTGAGCATGGGCTGTGAACCAAAGGGTTGTCAGTTCAATTCCCAGTCAGAGCACATGCCTGGGTTGCAGGCCAGGTCCCTAGTAGGGGCCACATGAGAGGTAACCACACGTTGATGTTTCTCTTCTTCTCTTTCTCCCCCACCTTCCCCTCTCTCTAAAAATAAACAAAGTCTTTTTAAAAATGCTGGTATTAGCCAAGCTTGGGTTCAAATCCCAACTCCACCATATAGTCTTTGTAATAACAGCTACAATAACACCTATCTCTTAGGGGCTCAATTTAGTCACACAATGTATAATAAAATGACTGGCACAATACTAAGTGGTCAGTAAAAGGGAACTATTGTTGTTAATACATGATAAAAAGGAAAGAAAAACATTTTCTGAAAATCTGTAAGCCAGGCACACTACTGGGAACGTACATATTTCACTCATTCAGTCCTCTCAACAATCAAGTTAAATGGGTAACAGTATTAGCATTTTACATATGAGAAAACTAAGGCTCGGAAGCACTCAGTTCTTTGGGGTCCAGTTCTCCTCTCCCATGTTTGAGGGCTCATATTTCCCCACTGGACTGATTTCCCCATCAGCCATAAGGCTAACACTGCATATCAACTTCAAATTTTCTTTTGAGGTAAGGTGTGACTTGAACTAAAACTAACTCAACCACAAGCAATAATTAAGTCTGTCCAGTCCATTCAAATTTGTTTGCATAACATTTTAAAAAAATATTTAAACAAGAATAACAAATTGCGACCCTGAGTACACAAAGGAGAAGCAGGAAGCGGGACTCTGGATGAAAACAACTGCATCACAAGGGACTCAAGGCCTCTTCTCAGACACGGCTCTAGAGGAGCAAACCCTCCCACTGCACAGAGCAGAGAAAGCGGCCAGAGGCAAGGTGACAACCAGCTCATGCTCAACTCCCCACATGTGAGGTTTCCTTTCAGAAATCTGTGCCTTTGCAAATGCTCCTTCCTCTGTTTTAAAATATACTTCCCCAGGCACATTATTGCTCCTTCTTCTAAATCCAGCTCAAATCTCCCCCCTTTTAGGAGCTTTCTCTGACACCTCATCACAAAGTTAATTGCTTAAGTGTGATCCAGTAGCAGTTTATCGCTATTTCGTAACTTTTGTCTCACTGTATTGTTAAGGTTTTTGGTTATGTTTCTCCTCCTACCAATCATTTTCAGGGAGGTGAGGATGGAAGATAGCAGATATAGATGTATGTATGTGCACACGTGTGTTTAAAAATCATATCTGAGCCCTAGCTGGGCAACTCACTTGGCTGAGCATTGTCCCATACACCAAAAAAGGCTGCAGGTTCCATCCCTGGTCAGGGCTCGCTCATGCCTAGATTACAAGTTCAGTCCCCAGTCAGGGTGCATACAGGAGACAGCCAATTGATGTTTCTCTCTCACATCAACGTTTCTGTCTCCCCTGACACCCCTTCCTCTCTCTCTAAAATCAATAAGTATGTTCTCTAATGAGGACTTAAAAAAAACCTATCTGACATAATTTCTGACATGTTTTTGGTCAGACCCTTTAATGTATTTTAAAATTTCAAGTAGCATTAAAGAAAAGCATAAGACTGTTTTCATGTAAAAGTGCATGAGTTTTAAAATTCTGAGAGACACTGAATTAGACATAGATCCTTAAGGGCAAGGACCACATCTTATTCACTTCTGTATTCCCAGCACAGAGCCGGGCACAAGTAAGTGTGAGTCAGTGTTTGCTGAAAGAGTGTGTAAGCCCAAAGTCATGATGTCAACTGCTCTGGAATCAAAACATGTTAGAGCAGAGCAGGGCATAAGCACCAGGCAAAGCGTCTTTCTCTCACGCTCTCTGTCTCTCGGCTTACTCCTAAACCACCCCATTCTGTCCTCACAGTTAGAGAGAGAAAGAGAGAGAGAGAAACACTGCCTTGGTGCCAGAATACTATTAAAAGGATTAATTTAGGGACCAGTGTTTGGACTGTCACATCCAATCACTACCCACAGATCTACAGCTTCCCAAATCAAGCTCATGCAAAGAGGAATCAATTGCAAGGACACAGAGGGTCTGAACAGGCATACTAATGGCCTCCTGAGGTGCCAGCGGCCAGCTCTGACACTCCCATAAATTATCTGCCTTTTGATTTTACCTGTAGCTGTGGGGCACAAGGCACAATTTTGAACATATCAAAGCAATCTCTCGTAACCCAAGGCTCCCCCAAGAATGTCCCCAAAGGAGGACGGGCTAAAAACAATGACCCAAAGGGAATCTGCTTCCTGGCAGGCCTGTTCCTGGCAGCCAACAATTAAAACCCAGCAGGACCAAGTGGATAAAGTGGGACCCAAATCAAGCCTAGCAAATCTGGACAAGGTATGCATCAGAATGCATTTCTGCAGTAACTACACATCTCTCACTCCAAGGAAGAGAAATCACAGCAATAAACTAACACAACTCCATCTGGAGGCAAATCTGCACTAGCTCTCACACCTTCTAGTATGACCTCAGGCAGCACACTTAACCTCACTGGGCCTCAGTTTCCTCAGTGGGTAACAGGGATAATAATGAATGCTGACCAGCTGACCCACTTCCCGGAGTGGTGGTGAAAAGTAATACAAGACATTTGAGAGGCACTTTGCAAAGATGTAGGTCCACAAGGATAGCAACACTAATAAATGACCCTGACAGACTAGGAGAAATGACTGGTCACACTTCGGTGAATTACTTTCAGGTAGCTGCTCTCTCAGTTCACTTTACTGATGGTATTGGGGCTAAGGCCCACTCTGAAGAAAGTTCTGGCATTCCAAATGGGACTCCTGATGTCTGAAAGTTTTCCATTATGAAGAGCAGTGCCTTGCTTTAGTTGTAACTGCCTCCTGTCTGCTGACTGCTCTGCCAGGGTCTACATTTCTACCCTATGGTCACAATTACAATTGTGAGGACCCAACTGTTGCTGACTGCTCTAAAAAATTATTGTGTAAGATACTATTAGTAAAAAAAGTTATTAATTGTGTAACAAATTAATAATTTTCAAAATTATTGTGTAAAATACCATTGGTAACAAAGATTAAAGACACTGCGCTAGGACCTTTACATACATTATCTCATTTATTCCTTTAACCAGCCTTACTAAGTTCCATCATCTCCATTTTACGGGTAGGAAAGTTAAACTCAGAGAGGTAAGTCACTTAGCCAAAGTCGCAGAGCACTGTTATCTGAAACCTACAGGCTACCCTTCAGCGATGCAAGTACACTGGGGCTTCAAGGAGGAGGAGAACAAATCACCAGACACTCAACTTTATTTGGTCCTTGTGCCTGACTAGGAGGCATTCCCAAGACCAGAAAAAAGGTTGTCAGTTTGCCACAAGCAAGGACAGACTAGGTAAGACATATAATGAGAACAATTCCTAGAAAGCTTAGGAAAAGGGGCCCTCCTCTGTGTGCATAGTTCGAGGAGTTCAAAGCAACTGACATTAAGCTAAGACCTAGATCCCTAAGACCAAGATCCCTACTACCAGGGCTCCATTTATTCCATACTTCTTTAAATAAGAAAGGCTTCCCAAAGTCTTTTCAATCCATCAACACCAACTTTCTCTTCCTACACCTTTTCTAGTCTGTGAAATAGGAGTTGGTATTGCCAACATCTTTAAGCTCCAGTAGATGTTCTGAAAATTAGTAGTAAAAAGTATACACATATAGGCAGAGATTCACTTATATTCAATCTTTAAGTGTCAAAATACTACCTCAAGCCCTGGCTGGCATAGCTCAGTGGATTGAGCGTGGGCTGCGAACCAAAGCATCACAGGTTCGATTCCCAGTCAGGGCACATGCCTGGGTTGCAGGCCACAGCCCCCAGCAACTGCACATTGATGTTTCTCTCTCTCTTTCTCCCTCCCTTCCCTCTCTAAAAATAAATAAATAAAATCTTAAAAAAAATACTGACTCAAAGAGGGAAATATAAAATACTACCCATGTAACTGCCACAGCCTCCCTGCTCTAGTATAGTTCTGTTTAACCCATGCTTAACAATGAAATCAGAGCAAACTTTCTAAAACACAAATGTATTATCAGTCCACCGCTTAACACCTTTCCACGGATTCTTACTGCTCTTATCAGTCTGATCCAGGGTCTGGAAAACTTTGGTCTGCAGGCCAAATCCAGCGGCCACCATTTTTATAGTTTACTGGGACACAGCCATGCTCATTCATTTTCATACTATGGCTGCTTTCATGCTGTAACAGCAGCGTTGAATAGAGCTGAATAGTTGTGACAGAGAACCACAAAGCCTAAATATTTACTGGTCCTTCACAGAAAAAGACTGCTGACCTAGCCTTATATTTTCCCCCACCTATAAGGTACTGGACTCTGTTTACCTTTCCTGCTTCACTTCTCACCATATTTTCCTGCTCCTTGCCCAGAGTACTCTTTCAATCACATTAAACTTCAGTTTCTCAAATTCAACAAAGCTCTGACATTCACACATAGTCCCTCATATTTTCACCTAATTCCAGAAGAGGTTACTTTCTCTGAGAAGCTTTCCCTGAGCCCACTGGTCAGGGTGAGGGACCCTTCTGAGTAGTCCCAAAGCACCTACACTTACCTTATTATAGCACCCTCTGAGTATATTATAACTGCTTCTTTACTGTCTGTCTCCCCCATGAATTTGTAAGCTCGTTGGTGTCAGGGACAGCAGCTATCTTATTTACCACCATAATCCCAGGACCTAGCAAAGTGCCTGGCCCTTAATTATTAAAGAAACAGCCTCTCAGATCCTGGCTATCGATCATCAGAGTCCACCTTTTAGCCAGCCCCGATCCTTGTAAAATGAAGATAGGCTAGAATTAACCATCTACCCAGAGGTGACTCACAAACCAAATTAAACCAAGATCCCAAAGGTCTTGGTCAAATGTATTATCAAAAGCCAAAATGAATGTGTTCCTTCCTACTGTCTGAAGATGTCTATTTGTCAGAATAAAGAACTATTCCAGCTCTATTAAACTTTTCTGAACCTAAAGTAGATATACAGGCAACGCCCACAAAGAAACCATGACAGAACTTGAAGTCTGGATATCCCAACTCCAACTCTTACACCTTATAGACTCCGGGTAAATTTCAATGGTCTTTAAGCATATGGTGTCTTGTCAGAAAAAGCTACAGAAAAATCCAGTCTGCACTGGCCCTGACCCCTCACCCTCCAAGCCCAAATACTCATAAGGAGGAAGTCAAGCCAAACTTGATCATGCAGCAGGATTCTCACCTCTCCTTACTTCGAAGATGCCAAGGCTGGTGGCTGGGGATGCTGAAGGTTCTGTGAGAGCTGGAAAGCCCCAATGCTGTAGATAAATACACATCTCTGCAACAAGTCTATTTCAGTACAAAGGATCAAATCCCCAGGGGGCTGCTGTTTGAAACAATTTAAGAACCAACAGTATACTTCAAACTTCTAAACTCAAACTACTTTGGGATAACAGCCATCTATGTGGTAGGACAGTGCCTGTGCAGAAGTTTCTGGCAGTATATTTTTGGAACAATGAATTTCAAGTTCTCTAGCAGCATACTTTTTTTCCTAAGGAGGCTTATCTCCTAGAAACTCTAAATAGTTACAATATCTAAACTTCGACTGAGAAAGAGAGACATGAAGTGGTAGCTCTCTGGATAATCCCAGAATCCTAGTCCAGTAAAGGAGAGGACACTAGTAAGGTTGACAATATTCAGAACTCAGGAACTGAGGTGGGGATTGGAGGAGGGGTTGGTTGCCACAAATGCTCAAGTCATATTGCAAATGGCCATATAAACCAAGAAACTTGCAGGATACTTCTAGGTTTGCCTCAAATTCTTAGAAAGTCAAAGTAACCAAATCCCAAGTAAAATCATCAATGGACAACTCTCATATTTATTGCCTAATTAAGATCTTCCAAAGGTCTAGACGTTGCAGAGGTGCCATTATAAGCCAGCAATAAGTGCCCTTTGCATAAGAAACACCCAGGTTTGGAATCACCTATTCCTGTCTACCATTCTTTATACATTACAACTTTATTCTACTCAGATACCCTGAGAAAATGCCACTCGCCAACTTACCCCACCACAAACAAAACACTTTTCAAGATGAAAGGGAATAAAAGCACTTTTATTTGGAATTTTAAGTTGGAAGGAGAGCTCTCAGCCAAGCTTCATGACCTAGCTAGAGGATTATTTACAGGATCTTTGGGCAGGAATTGTTAATGAGCTTTTAATTTGGAGTGCTTAAGTTGCCAAAGTGCTCTGAGCTCCAGTGAAGCACCACAGAATCCATAAAGGAAACCTTATCAATCACTTCCCGGCAGCTCCCTTTTCCCACCCCCCACTACCTCTATGAGGAAATCCAGCCAAGTGGGTTTCTAACCAAGATCACAGACACACACATTAGTGGTGTCACACTCCAAGTCCCAGTTTATAAATTGGCTTTTAAATGGTAAGGTATTCAAGTATAATATACTTAAGCTCCAGGCATGAACCCACTAAAACAAGGCATGCTGTGTATGATAAAGTCAGAATAAAGCAGAATTTGATGAAGCCAATTTCTGGTAGAAACTCTATAATCAAAAATCATTCAGCCAATCACAACCTACTATAGTTCAAATAGTGCATAGTCTTTCGCCAATAGGATTCGTGTTTTCTTTTGCCCTTCAGCTGGGAGACTGATAAAATGTCTGAAAAGAGCTAATGACATAGAGTGGCCAGACACTTGTAGCAGAGGCAACCATAGGAACCATCGCTTAGCAAAATCCAGCCCTAAGGACAGAATCCAAACCCCCAGTGAGGGGTCACATTCAGCATCTTCAGAATCAACAAGGAGCAGTTATATTTTGCAAGAACTCAAAGTCAAGCCTCAATCCTAGTTCATGCTTTTTTTGTTTTAAGAAAGCACCTGTTGCTGTAACATTTGCAGAAAAAACAAACAGAAAGCAACCCCAGTTAGGCCCCTTATTCAGTCCTTCCACCATCGCTACCACCACTGCTACAGATTTACATAGAGGTAAACTGCTAACCTTGTGTGCTTGTGGGTGGTGGGGAGGAAGGGGATGTTCTATCTACTATCTCCTTGCTGGGTTTCTATCCTCTCTGGTCAAACCCCTCATCCTCCTCCCTGGTAATTCCATGTTAAGAAGTCAGCACCTTTAGTCACCTCAACCAGTCTGCCCTGCAGAGCCCGGCCCCGCTCCCTCTCTGCCTGTGCGTTACTCAGTAGATCATGCATCCAGGGTGAGCACATGGACCAGCACCCAAGTCGCACAAACTGTGCGCGCCGCGACCCGCACCCCGGCATGCATCAACCAGGGCCCAAATCTGGGGGGCCTCTCTGCATCACCCACCCCGGGGTGTTGCCCCCAACTCGGGCCCATCCAAGTCCAGGGGAGAGTAAGGGGAGGGGCAGGGGGCCAGGCGACCAGCCCTCCTTCCCAGGGCCGCCCCCGTCCCCCGTCAGCAGCAGGAGAGGCTGTCGCCATGGCAACGCCCCCTCCTTGGGGCCAGCGCGGCAGGCTCCCTCCAAGTGCAGGCCCCGACGTCTCCCTCGGCCTCATCAGGCGCTCAGGGCAGTTTATGGCGGCGGGCGCGGCCCGCGCCGACTGCGGCGCCGGCCGGGCAGAGGCAGGGCCAGCTCCGCCCGCTCCCCACTGCCCGTTCCCGGCCGCCTCAACAGCGGCAGCCAGCACCACGAGTCCACAACACACCGACTCACCTCCGCGCACTCTGACCCCGGCCGACGCAGCGGATGGGCGGGTGCGGTGGCCAACCGCTGAGCCCGCCATAGGCCCCTTCGGCCAATGACACGCAGGTAGGCGGGGCTTCTTCTCTCCAAATGTTCGCTCTCCCGCCGACATGCGCACTAAGGGGTGTCAAAATGGTGATCCTCCGCGGCCAGCCTTATGGGACTTGTAGTTTTGAGGTTGCACGTACTCAGAAGAGTGAACGGGGACTCACTAGCGACTGTGAAAGAAATGTTTATTAAAAAAACGAAAACTTTGCAAGGCCTAGAGAGACTCAGGTCTACTTCTCGTTTTCCCACCTTACAATATATGCATAAGGTGAGTATAGGTTCATAAGGTGACGTTATATTTAGATGACACTTTCTCTTGATCATTCAACAAGTCGTTTTTATCCACTCTCTGTGGAGGGTCGAGGGGAAGAACTGAGAGAAGGTGTGTTTTAGGCTAAGAAGAAAATGCCTAGCTTTTTTCCTTAAGATTTCTCAAGGGCCTTGCTAAGAAAGAGGGAAGTGACTTGTTCAGGTCTTCTCCGGAGGGAACTTAAGGGTTAAAAGGATTCTGGCCTCAACTGTGGGGAGTTCCACAGACAGCCCCTTACAGTCTTTTCTGTCGGCTGGTGAGAACTCTGTCCAAAACCAGAGATATGTTTCTTCATCCAGGTTATGGCCCTCAGGGAATTCTTGGGTAGCAGAATCTGGGCTGCAACACCACGGCCTTGGCCAAGCCTGTGATGGCTTTGACAGCTCCCAAACCGTCAGGAACCATCTCCTGGGCCTAGCTTCCCTCACCAAGCCCCCTGTCTGCTGTCTGCATATTTTCACTTAAGAGAAATGATGCCATTTCTGGACTCTGCTACCTCTGTGAGATCTGACCTTGACATAATTGTTCCTGCTTGAGCTGGGAGTACCTTCCTTAATGTCACATTATGTGATTCTGCTTTGCATCTGTAGAATTTATCACATTGTTTTATAATTATCTATTTCCTTTTTGTCTCTCCCCCAGGGCTGTAAACTCCTTTAAGGTAAGCATATTTCCATATTGTTCACCCTATATCAGTAATACCCAGCCCAGTACTAGGCAAAAGCAGGCACACAATCAATGTTTGTGGACAGATGAGGTGAATAAACATCAGCAGGGACAGATGTCACTTAACCCAAGGTCAGTAAAATGGAAGCACATTTGCCTGTACTCCCTCATTCTGGACCTGGAGTTGGGTCTTCCTCCCCCATTAATGCCATTTAAATATTAATCCTAGTTGATCAGTCAGTCAACATATAATTATAGTGCCTCTTCTAAGTGTCAGGCACTGTTTCTGTTACTGAGGATTCACTGAATAAAACACACAAAATCTGTATCCTCAAGGAGCTTTTAAGTTGGGGAGGGGAAGGATGGGAAGAACAGACAATAAAGAAGTAAGTAAATAGATAAATAAATTTAGACAAATAAAAGGCCCTGAGATGGCCTCTCCTGTCTCTCACTTTATTATATCCTGAATCTGGCCTGAAAATAGGGCACAGCCAACCATCTCGGCTGTAAGAATGAGTAAACCTACACTATCTGGGTTAGAGCCTTTCTGTAATAGACGTACCCTAGGCCACCTCCTGACTGCTGGTTTAAGTGACTGAGCTAAAGTGAACACAGAGAACAGGGACCAAAAAGAGGACCGAGTCGGTTCTTCTACCGCCCTGTCAACCCACCAGGAAAAACAACAAGATGGCCATCAAAGCTGGGACCTCAGCCAGCAATCAGAAGGCAGAGAACGCAGGACCCAAGGGCAGTTACACGGAAGCTCCAAAGTTGGCACAGCAGAGCTCACCTAGGCTGGGTCCGAAGCGTTTGCATCAGAGCACTGTAAGAACCACTTCTGCCATTCACAGTCCCTGTAAGCTCCGTAAGACAGCAGAGTGCAGTTAGAGGAGTGCGAGCTCAGAGAGAGCCCATCCAGCTTTGAGTCCTGGCTCTGTCGGTGACCTTAGGCAAGTCAGTTGCCTCTCTGGGGCTTAGTTCTTTATCTACAGAGTGGAGATAATACTAGTACCTACTTGTTAGAATTAAAGGCAAACGTGCTTAGCACAGTATCAGGAGTTCAGTAAATATTGGCTATTTCTATTGTTTTTGCCCCTCTCCCGTCCTTCTCTCCAGCTCCCCTTCCCACCATGAGCACCACCACCCCACCTCCTCACCCCCCACACCACTCCCACAGACTTCTCTGCTCCAGGAGCTGTGGGGCTAGACCTGGCCATGCCTTCTTCGCCCTGCTCTCCCCAGGGCTGTTCCCCTTGAGCCTGAGCCATTCATCTCCCTGGTGACCTGAGTCTGAACTAAGAGACGGATGTGGGGTGGCTGAGGCCAGGGTGGTAATGTGCTCCCTTATCTCCGTGCCCCTCACTGGGGCCTAGTTAATTTTCCCTTTGATTTTAATATAGATTTATTGAAAGTTTCAGTTATCAAAACAAACTGCAGCAGCAAATTGGTGTTCTTTGTAGGCCTACAAGTGCCTATAAAGCTGCCATGCTCGGGAACGAATGGCGCTCTCTAGGAGGTCAGTCATGGCAACAGGAAGTCCCTGGGGAAACACACACTGCAGTTTAATATTTTTCTTATTAGCCTTTTTCTTCTTGGCTATCTAAGCCTCCCTCTTTAAATCAGAAATCAAATGGAGCCACCTGCCCAGGGAGGCTTTCTTCCCCACGCTGCTCCACTCTTTGCCTTCTCTGATCCTTCTCTAGTCCTAGCCTCCTCTCCCCTGCCTCGCCACAGTTCCAGAGAGAGGTGTCATTCATGTGCCCTGGGGGTGTGGCTCACAGCCCTTTCCCAATTGTGGAGGGTTGGCTTGGGCTGTCCAACTGCTAGTCAGGGGAAAGCATCTCTAGAAGAAGATTAGGGCCCCAGGCCTCTTTCAGATCCGGTGTGAAGAAGGGAGGTTGTTTTTTAAGCAAAAGAGTTATTTTCAAAAAGGCAGACAGTCCTGTCAGGATCTGTTGAATGCAACAGAACCAAAAAGGAGATGATGATCCTAGAGATTGTGTTACAGAACAGGCGGGGTGGGGCGGGGTGCAGGCTGAACAATATAAAAGACCCCCCCTTTTTCTCCGGGGATTCCTCACCACCACTGGGTTCGTTTTGCCCGCTGCCTGAGGAAAGATATCTCTTAATACCAGAGATCAGTGAAAAGGAAAGGAATTTATTATTTATTTGAAATAATACAAACTAAAGTTCTGCACAGATGCACACAGTCCTCCCGACACCCTCCACGTGGCAAAAGGGAGCACTTCCAAAGCCTCGTGGTCCTGATTCTCACCAAAGCCGAGTGATCCCCAAAAAGACACGTGATCCCAAAAAGAGAGATGCCAAATGGCTGCCACGCCTCCATTTAAATCCCAGCGCCAATCTTCTTCTGCAGCCTCATTTCCAGCTCCTCCCACAATTGGCCACAGCTGCCAGCATTCCGGGCAGGTGTGGCCCTGTGGTATGGAGCCAATTATCTCCAAGTTCTTCTGGATGCCATTACAAATCCCTATTTGGGGCCCCCTTTTTAGCTGCACCTGTTACAATTGGGCAAGTTCTCCTTCCAACCCAAGAATTGTCTGATTTCATTCTCATATTCCCACTGCTGCTCCTAATAGGGCCTCTCCTCTCAGTCCCAACTTGATTTTTGAAACCCTCCATTCTCTGGTCCCAGTCTGCCTCTCTGAGAACCAGCCTGGTTTCCTGCCTCCAATAGCTCACATAGCTAGAACCACTCACTGCCACCTCCAGGTTCTGGAATCAATCCTGTCCCAGGGAGGGTCTCCATTACCTGGTAACCATGAGGGCACCATCATCTCTTCTGGGGCTGAGGTGATACCGGGACACCTGTATATACCACATCCCAATTCCTTGCACTTAAAAATGCCCTGCAAGTAGCAAGGGCTACTGCCCTTCCCAGAACTTGGACAGAAACTAAGGGTCTTGACTATTAGAGCTGTGCAGCTAGAGTTGTGGAAGGTGCTGAGGTTTAGATTTGAACAGTTCAGGATTTGAATCCTGGCTCTGACACTTACTGAGGCTATGAAATGGGGAACCTCTTTCTGGTTTCATTACACCTTGTGCTTGCACCTACTCTTGCTTAAGGACTGCTCTGTGATAAAATGATTTGCCTCTTATCTGTCACCTAAAGTAATCTGAGACCCTTAAAGAAGAGGACTGTCTTAATCATCTTCATATTCCAAGTACATATGTTTGGTGAATAAGTGAAGTCGCCTTCTCTGGGTTTGTTTCCTCCACTGTCTCCACTATGACATGGAGATAATACCTGCATAACCAATAAAGTGAAGAAAGCATCTACCACAGTGCCCAACCACGCAAGGTAGGTGCTCAGTGAGTGAAGTTTCTGCCATCATTTTTCTCTTGGGGCTGCTCATTAGCCAGCAGAACCCCCACCTTTTGCCTCTTCCCATCTCAGCGTCAAGTTCAGCTCTCTCTTTTTGCCTGCTGGAGCTTTCCCATCACTGATCAGATGCCAGCATTTGCCTTGACTCCTTTGGAGTTGTGCTAACCTCTTTCCTCAAGACCAGGCTCTCTCAATTTTTTCAGATCCACTCACAAACTTTTGCCTCCCAATGGCTCTGTTTCTATTCCCTGGACCGCCTTGTAGTTCATCTCTAGCAGTGCAGATATTCCCTGCCATCTATACCAGCTGGTGGTACCAATGAATATACATTAACATTACTATATCAATCTTGCTAATTCTAGGTCTCCCCACCTGCTCCTATAGAAATACCAGTCTCGCAATGTTCTATTAAAAAAAAGCCTCAGTTGGGTCCATGGATCAATCCAAGCTACTATGTTCCACTGGCTTCTGTTGCTACGTGCTCTGTGGATACCGACCTTGAGTGCCCCTGCTTTATGTGCTCAGCTCTCATGGTGCCATGACAAGGCAAGAGCAGGGCGCTTGCTCAGAAAGTAAGAAGAC